ACGTAAAAGGGCTAATTGGGTCTGGTGGAGGGTGATATTGTGGAGACTGTGTGAAAAAGAGATGAAAGCCTAAGGGCCGTCGTGCAGCCAGCTGAAATGGAATGACGAGAACAGAATAAGATGGAGATGTCCTTTTGAAGCCCTAGGTTCTACTCTGAATCTAATGTAGTACTAGTTGTCATATTAATGCGCAGTATTCAAATAGTTTAGTGATTGACCATAAAGTTGAGCGACACTAATAGGTATTATGATTATTTCCTTTAATTCATAGAGGAACATAGGGCTTCAGCCACGCATCTCCATTGCGTTCGGTTCTCGGCTAGAGTTTTCACCTAGCTCCAAGTCTGCCCACATGCTTTCATCTCCTCTTCACACGACCTCCTCCAACTCACCCTCGCACTGACGACCAACTTGCTACTTCCCGTTCGGGTTCCACTCGAGCAATGGCTTGTCTAGTGATGTCACTTGATGGTTTCCTCAGAGTATAGCCAATCCAATCCACCTCCATTTCTTCCTGCCTATTTGTTTCACAATCGGTTCTTGGTTGGTTCGCTCATTGACAGAGATCTCTGTTGCTGATCTTTTCTGACCGGCCATCTGATCTAGAGTATTGAGCGAAGACAACTGTTGATGAAGGTCTGTAGTTTGTTTGAGGTGCTCTTCATGACGCGCAGTGCAAGTCTCTGACCCATATAGTAGCACTGACTTCACATTGGAGCTGAAAATCTGGATCTTATTTTCATTCTCATGCTGAGTGCTGTTGACCTCCACACAGACTTGAGAGTAGTGAAAGCTTGTCTTGCTTTTCCGATTCTTGCATTGATATCCTCGTCAGTTCCGCCTGCCTGTAGTTGAAACGATGCTTCCCAGGTCGGTGGGTGAAGGAGGTTGTTTCTTTCAGGTTCCTTCCATTCATGCTGATTGTTGTCTGTTGTTGTTGTTGTTGCTGTTGGTGGTGTTGCTCAGGAATCTTCATCACCTCTGTTTTCTCTACGTTCACCTGAAGTTCTATCTTATCTGGATTCTCCTTCTGCCAACTTGTTACTTTTCGCTTGCATATCTTCCAATTTGTGGGAAGTCAGACATATACCATCGGCGAAATCCAGATCCTCCAAGTTATTTGTGTGAGTCCATTTTATGCCTGTTTCCTCATTGCCCACTGTTTGTCGCATTATCCAGTCTACTGCAATCAAGAAAATCATTGGCGATAGTAGACAGCCTTGTCTTACTCCTGTCCTCACTTCAAAGGATTCCGTAAGTTTCTCGTTGTGGATTACTTGGCATGCAGCATTGTCGTATAGCTGTTGGATGAGATGTATAATTGTCGGTGGCACCCCGTAGTAGCGAAGTAGTTGCCAAATCACCTCTCGATCGACGCTGTCAAAGGCCTTTTCAAAGTCGATGAAGTTGAGATAGAGAGGTGATTGCCATTCCAGGCTTTGTTCAATGATGATCCGTAATGTGGCGATCTGATCAATGCATGACTTGTTTCTTCAGAATCCATCCTGTTCCAGTCGATATATGCATATATATGTTAGTCTCCTGTGTGAATTCCAATTACCGGTTGTGGAGCTTTTCAAGTCCAGTGGCAGGATGGATGTATTCACACCTGAGACCCTGAACTTTATAATTATGCTCTTCAGCCAACAGCAATATTCTCAGTGATCCATTTCTCAAGTACTAAAATTGAACTAGCGAAGATGTTACACTAGTTTACGAAGTCTTTGACTAAATCCCATGTGGAGACGTCATCTACTTTTAATCACTCATTGAACTCATAATGAAAAGGATAATAACAATAGCATTATTTATCTTTCCTGCTGTTACTTTCGTTTTGAATACGTTTATGTGATTTTCAGCAATTTGTGTGGTTGCTGATTGACACCAAGGCATGTGATTATGATATCACTTAGCTGTCGTAAGCGATTTGCTTATCTGCTCCACGGAGGCAGCACACATAACAAAATGTTTTTTTCAAAGTAGGCGGTTTCAATCTTCTATACTCCAGTAATTTACACTAATTTAGGAAATGCACTGTGTTTCAGTTGGTATAGGGTCTAGGAAAAAAATGCTTTTAACGTTATTGATTCCAAATTTTCTGTAACTACAAAACACGGTCGTATTTGGTAGCGACAAACAGGTGCACAGATAAGGGTAAAATACACAAATCTAACATTAAAATCACCATTTGCAAATATTCTCTGAACCATGCCTCTTTTGGTGTTTGTTTCATGTTTTCTATGTTGTTTCACAAGGATCTTTCACTTCTCTCCATTTAATCCAAATTCTTGCAGAAGACATCTTATATGTAATATATTACTTGGGAAATCCTGTCGGTAGTACCCTCCTTTAATATGAAATAGCTGTTTCGAGTCACTTTAATATTGCTAGTGTAGAGGTGGCTATGAACGGATATCAGTTAGAAAATCAATAAAAACCAAGTCTCGGATTTGAAGCTCCGATAGATTTGAACTCAATGACCTGTGAAAACTAACTGGTGTAAGTTTGTGAGACACCTCTGCTGCCAACCAGTGTCATCAATGTGCAGCTGCCTCACCCTGACATTGTGGATCCATCCAGTGAGTCCAAGGCATAATAATAATTATGTTCTGTTCTTTGTTTTGTGATCATTGCAAAATATTACGACAATAAAGGTCATTTCATTATCACAGTATAAGTACAATATGATAAGCTTGAATTATTATAGTAAGGCACTGATTTCCACGTAATGTAGCTTACAAATCTCCATTAAGTCATACAAAAGAAGAGGAGTTCGGTGAACAGTTGCTCTTTCCAGAGATATCATTCTCAAGCTTTACAACCGCATATATATGATACCTTCTCATAGCAACAACAGGAATCTTTCTGAAGATGTGCCGTTAAAACTGTAAGTTTTAGATAATAATTACGTAATACGAAAGTCTTTGTTCAGATAGAAAGTGAAAATTTTAAAAAATATATTGAGTTACGTGAAATTACTCACAGGATAGAGTAGATCACAATTAAAACTGAAAAAAGTTCAAGTTAAGATCACTGTTGTAAGAAACAGAAACCCAGTTGTGGAAAAGGTGAAAAAATTATACAGTTCAGAAAAGTATTAGGATCAACAGAAACTACCCAACAAATGTTGAGACTAACTAGACTCGTTGGAGATGCAATGAGTGAACAAACTTCTTTTATATGCACAACATGTGGGTCGTTAGAGTTTCTGTAGTCTGAAGAAGTCTGATATGTATTCCTTTGGAAAGATTTACGCGTACTCTTTAAATGAATCCGAAGTTGGTCTGTAGGTTCGCTTCCTGTCCTGAATCAACTAGGCGCTGCAGAATACAGCTGCATGGAGAGGGGGTTTCCTTCTGTGTAAAAACAAGGGAGTAAATGTTCACTGCTGCGTTTGGATTGGAAACTCTGAATACAGTTGACATACCTAGCTCCACAGGAGCAGGTGAATAGATAGATAGACACTGATGAAGGCAACAGCGGGAGCTTATCCTTCGCGTTTATACACATCACTCGTTTCACTGAGAGAATAAGCCGAAGCTTAGCTGAGAAATATGTTATCACTAATGTTCTGAACTGATGCTTTCTGAGTATTTTTGCGTATGGATCTTCATTCATTTATAGACTAGGTTAGACAGGTTTATTGGGGCAGAAAGCGTGGATGATTTTTATTGGTGTATGCTTCATGGATTTTGTGATGAAGCGTTCAGATAATGAATACTGACTTCGGCTTTAGATTTCATATTGTATTCATGCTTAATACATAATGAGCTTGTATTTATTAGATGAATTTTTTTCCTTCACGTTCCATGAATAGGCTCAACTAAGCTTGAAGTTCTGTTGCTGTTTACTTTACAGATGAGGCTACCCATGCCTAAACTTTTCTCTTTACCAGCTTTTTATTACTGGTTTGGCAAGGTAAAGGAGTGCGTAAGTCGGGGATAGAATCCCGGACAATGTGCATGGTCGGCGAGCGTCCTAACCACTGTGCCACCGATGCTATTGGATGATTTCCATCACTAATATTATTGTTGATAAAGTACTCAAGTATGGAGAAAAACTGATACATTTATCTATACTATTACTATAGTTTCTCAGTTTTCTGGAAAACAAACAAAATGAATGAATGAATTTATTTTAAAGTTCAGCCTTTAGATGTTTTCTAGGTGAACAATGAAAATGTTTTGATTTGTAAATATGCTAACATTTTTACACCTGATTTGCCCATGATACAACGAGTCACCTGGGCTTGTTTATATTTGGTTTCTAATCTAGTAAACAAGTTCAGGTGATGGCCTAATCCATTATTCACAGTCTATCAGTTGTTCCCATTTAGTTGCAATACCTAATTGTACTTTTCTTATTATTGTATGTCTGAGTTTCCTTGATGAATATGTAAACTGACCACATTTTGGGATCACACCTAATAATTTTTTAATATTAAAATACTAATACTGTTAATGTCTCTTTGATGAGGTGTGATAATACGATACTACCATTACTACTATAATCCTTATTTTTAATATGGTTGTATTCCCTGAGATGGGTAGTGGTTTAATTGCGAAGGTTTCTTTGTCTTCCTAGACAACATCTTCAAGGCAAACTTCAATATAAAGTGAGCACCATGAGTGGCATAATTAATGGCATCTCCTGACAATCACTTCAAAATCATCCAAGTTAGCCACAAATTTTCCCCATTATTTGACATCCCTTCTTATTCTTGTATGATCTCCTGCGTTAAAGATGTCCTTAGTACTTACTTGGTGAGGAAAATACATTTTTTAAATTCAATTAAAAAACAGTACAGAAAGCTTGTCACACAAACCATAAAGCTGGGTAGACACAAAAAAACTTCAAATGAATTCCAGTCATATCTGTGCCTTTATGACCAAATCTGAACAACAGACGTTAAAGGAATATATTTATTATCCTCGAACGATGCGGTACCGTTGGCGGGTAGGTAGACTCCGGTATTCTCCTCTAAATGCTTTGACCTTGGCGGCCTGTTTGAATTTTTGGGCCTGCTATCATAAAATCTACATATTGCATCCAACCTACCATTTACTCCATTTATTTATCACCCAAATATGAATTCCAAAAGGATTATTTACTCTCGCAACTTTATCATTCATTTACGACCCAATGACTTTCATATTCCCAAGAAATCAAGGAGGAAGCATCGTAGTGGCTGGCAAAGAGCTCTTAAACGTACACCAATACACTTAACCACGGTCCCTGTCATAATGAACACTAACTGCCGCTCTCTGCCAAACAAAATAATGTACCTACAATCCTTGATGTCCACTGACACTTATCACAATACTGCGATAATCACATTACAAGAAACATGGTTACACGAACTGTACGATGACAATCTCATCTCTCTAAAGGACTTCATCCTATTTAGACAAGACCGAAAATGTTGTAATAAGAAAAATGGGGGTGGAGTAGCAACTTTCATTAACTCAAAATGGTCTATTTCTAATAATGTTTGCTTCTCATTCTCAAATGACTTCATAGACTGCATCACCGTCAAATGTCGTCCCAAACATCTCCCCAAATATAAACACATCTTTATCACAAACATGTACATTTCTCCAAGTTGCTCACTATCTAATCTTTCAAATTTTGCTGATGAATTCACCATGTTTGCTGCTGCCAACTTCGATAACTCTCTATCTGTTATTACTGGGGACTTCAACTCGTCAGATTGCTCCTTCCTTGAAGCACTTGGTCACTCTAACATTGTCAAATTTCCCACTCGACTAGACAAAACACTTGATTTAGTTTTTACAAATGACGAAGGAATCTATGAAGCACGTAAACGTGCACCGATCCTCAACTCTGATCACTCTATTGTTCGTGTTCTACCAAAAATTTACAGCAAAACACATATTAAAGTCTTCTCGCATCTGTCTATGAAAGCACAACAAAGATGCTACTCATCCGAAAACTTACTCAATCTAAGGTGCATGTTACAAAATACTAACTGGGATTTATTCCATGAAAGTTCATTAGATGACACAATTGTCAATATAACGGATTATCTTAAGTTTTGCCTTGATATATGCTGTCCCAAACAAACTCTATTCAAACGCCTCGACCGCTTCTCATCTCCTTATCTCAAACAACTTCGCAGGAAAAAAGAAACTTTATACAAATCCAAAGACAAGTTAGGACTCAAAAAGATTAATGCTCAGATCAAATCTGAAATCAAAAATCTTAATGCTATCTATAATGATACACTTTTATCATGTAAATCTCCAATCAGTATGTGGAAACTTTTTAATGAAATTACTGGTAATAGTAAGCGTTGTAATGCTTTTCCCTCTTATGATGTTAATGCTCTTAATCAGTCTTTTATACGCTGTCCTTCTACTTTAACTACTTCTAATGTTACCTATCATGTAGCTGAAAACTTTCATGACTTTAATACTCTCGATGTTCTAAAATGTCTTAAAACGCTCAAGCCCTCACGTAGCCTTGGTCCTGATGGTATACCTGCCTATGTTCTAAAACAATGTGCAGATGTGTTGTGTTCTCCACTAACCAACATCCTAAATGCTTCTTTCTCCAAAAATATCGTACCTGATGCATGGAAAGACATCAAAATTGTCCCTGTCCCTAAACCTGGAAACGGCAAGAACGTAAAGTTCAGACCCATTGCCATCACTTCCCCGTTTCTAAAGCTTATGGAAAAACTAATACTTCTTAAACTTGAACCCTCCCTTAAAAACTTCGAAGACCCCAAACAATTTGCCTATAGACAGGGTAGGAGTACATTAGACGCTGCAGCTGTCTTACACAACAACATCGTCTCATCATTAGATAAAGGTGCCAAATACGTCCGCTGCACGTTTCTTGACTTCACTTCTGCTTTCGACTCTGTTCCTAGATGTCTCCTGCTAAATAAGCTCTCTTTGACAAAAACTGAGTCCTGGGTCACTAACTGGTTGCATTCCTACTTCTCTAACAGAATGCAGTACACCGTATACAAAGGTAAATCATCCTCTGCTGTACTCACTGAAGCCGGAGTCCCCCAAGGCGCTGTACTCTCCCCACTTCTCTTTTCTTTCTTTCTACATGACTTACCATCTTCAAATGACATTAATTTTGTCAAATACGCTGACGATCTGTCTGTATCTTTGCCTATCAAATGTCAAAGCGACTGCTCTAAACTTAATGGCTTTCTGTCAGAAATCAGCCAGTGGTCCAAGGAAAATGGTCTTACCCTAAACCCCTCCAAATGCCAAACGGTCAATTTCACCTTTAGGCATAAATCCGACCTAAACAAACTGTTTGGCTCTTACGAGGTATGCAACATAGACGGCACTGAAATAGAAACTAAATCGGAAATTAAATACCTAGGTGTCATTCTATCTGCTGATCTCTCCTGGTCGTCTCATATCTTAGCAATTTCTAAGAAAATATTCCGTCTTACCTTCTACATTAAGAAGTTAAAACATTCTGGTATTACCCAACCCTTACTCCTACAATTCGTTAATTCTCGCATCCTGCCTATTATTCTCTATTGTTCCCCCTTAGTTTTTCCCGGGCTACTGAAGAAAGACTATAACATATTACGCAGGATGTTAAATGTTGTCAGCAGGGTAAGCAACGTGCCACTTAACCAGCTTGTTAATATTCTGGTTGACAGGCACATGGACTCATGTGAAAAATGGGCCAAATCCATTTTATCTAACTCACACCACCCTCTTCACTCACAACTCTCCCCTTGCATCTCATCAGGTAAAACCAGAAGCCAATATAGAAAACTATATGCTCGCACCAGCAAGTACAAAAACTCAACCATACCCTACTTAGCTCGTGTTCTGTGTGATAAAGAAAGCATTAGGCGTGACACCTATAATTCATTAAATAGTCAGTAGTACAACTGGATCTCGTCTTTCCAACCCACATCATCAATAGGTACAACATTTTCTTTCTTTCTTTTCCTTTTCTCTCTCTTCTTTTTCCGTTATGTGCTGCTTTGTCTCTTTCTCTCGCTTACGCCAGTTAATAAGACAGCTCCCACTTTTCTAACACCTTCAAACACTGTTTCAGCTTTACCTTTGCTACTGACATGCCAATGTATTGTTGTAATAATGAACTGTGGTTTCCTCAATCTATGTAGAATTCTATTTATTGATAATGTACTAACTGGATGCAATACTGTAGTAAAAATGCTGAGAATTCCATTCTGTATCACAAGTACTGTTTTGGAATAAAGCAAATTATTATTATTATTATTATTATTCATGTGGCCACGCGTTCATACCCTCCATCAGGTAAGTAGTGTTCTACTTTCAAGCGGTAGAGGTGTTTCTCATGAAAGTCGAAGGCGCCTGCAACCAGACTAGTGTACAAAATATTCCACACAGGAGAACTGAAAAATTCTAATTCTAAGTCGATGGTGTACATAGGCTTAAGAATCCAAACGGAAAGAATGACGTGCGAACCTGTTTTAGTCACCGCTAATCGTAGGAATTCAGCTCTTGACACTGTTTCACCACCTTGTTGATCAGACTTCAAGTCAAACATTCTCGATGTGGTCCCTTAAGACGATCTGAGGGACCGGGCAGTATCCCAACCCTTGCACAAACAATGAAACTTTATTCATGTATGGTGCATATCTTGCTGCCCATACTGTACCAAGTATTTTTTATATAAGTTTAAACATATTTATTCCTACTTATTTTAAACTTTGAAAACACATTTGAAAGTGTTCTTTAGTTTATCATATGAATGAAAGATACACAAATTAATTCTTTACTGATGAAAATAACGAGAAAGAGTACTCAAGTTATGTAGTGCTGTTTTATTTCCCACATATGAGCAAAGTTCAAGATGTTTAAATCATAATCGGTGTAAATTTCGTCTATCTGCTGAGTGACTGATGTGCTAAACACCATTTTTCTTAGTTCTTCCTCATTGTTGTAAGACATGAAAGTTGAAAATGGAAGATATGTGGAGGCTAATCGCCTTTGACCATAGATTTCTGCATTCTATCCTTAGTGTTAGGTGATATAATATGGTCAGCAATATAGACGCTAGATGTAAAGCGTAAGGTAAAAAGGGAGAACCAGTTGACATGTGTTACACATACACAAGTATTGTCCTGTTCTTCGAGAATTGCTCGCTGCAAGAAGCTTTTGTTGCAAAACATGTGGTCAGACCAAAGCATGGTATTAATTCGTGAAGACTCCAAGTGTTGGTTTGAGTCACACAGGGAGGTGTAAACTGCCTGGTTGTGGTCTTGGAGATGGTAAACATCAATGGCTGGAGACAGTTAATGATATATGTCTGCAAATGGTTCTCATAGGTTCCCAGGTATTCACTCTTTGTGATCCCCCAAATCTCTGAGTTCTCATTATCCTACGGGTAATTACTATTTCTCCCATACAATTCCATTTATTATGGTTTCCCTGTATTTCTTTCTTTGTCTGTACCTTCAAGCGTGACAACTGATATGTGGAAACTGCAACTGATGCACTTAATTTTGGAAAAATCTTCTTTGCAAAGTCAGTTCAGACGAAACCACAATCAGTTTAATTATCTGCATCCATGCTTACGATGCAGCCTCAGATACAGATACCATTTATCAATGATATTTATTTAGAAATTTACAGTTTTAAATTGGTTTGCTGGGTAGGATAAAGGTGAAATAGACTAATTCTGCTTGCAAATGAATCTTTTTCTGTGATGTTTAAAAAACTAACAGCGCCATTTGTATTCTTTGGAAATCAGATAACAGACAGTTAACAAATAGATAAAGTAAATTTAATGTTCAAATTTAATCGTCAACACAGTGATAGATATATATAAAATTAATAAAGAGGTAAGAGGTGGGAAAATAGACTAAGGTCAAGTTAAGAGGACATATTGAAGGTCAAAATAACAATGAAGACCACTAAACCAAATAGCAGAGGTAATAGTGTAACGACAGAAGGCAAGACTCAGGCAACAGATTGTTTATTAATGAAATCAACACATATTTATAGATTTTCGTGTACATTATTATAGATTATTGTGAGCTGACAAACACAGTCGTCTGATTGGTTGTTTCTCACTGAAAGTTAATCTTTCATTTCTTTGTTGCTGTCTCTTGAGTCTCAGATAGATCATCTATCTGCTAATTGTATCCGCCTACGCAAAGTCTGCTGTCCATCTTTGATCTTGTTTTCACATGACTAATATTTGAGACATAAACATTGACGTCAATTACTGTCTACCAATTTGGCTAGCAGCCATCTCTCACCACAATAGTACATCTGCTATGGTATCAAAACAAAATTTACCAAAGAAGGTTTAATGTGATGACGATTTGTTTTTGAACGCATAGAGGTGGTTTAAACTTTCTAATTGCTAGGGCTTCCACGAACTTTAGGATACGCCCCGAACACATTTTATAGATAGGTTTAAAAGATCTGTTAACGTCAATTTTATGTCCTGTCTCTATAATATGTTTCGCAATAGAGGAGCTAGGTCTCCTGTTCTCACCATTAATGGGTTCTGAAGATTCCATTTGTTTCTGGAGCCATTTAGGAATATGCTCTGAAGCCCTTACTTTCAGAGATCGATGAGTCCTCCCTATATGTGTGTCCACATGTACATTCAAATTGGTAAATACAGTGGGATGTGATATCATTTTTCGCATGTTCGAAGGGCTTAGATAGATATATTGGCTTCACATTCTCAATTATTATGATATTAGCCGCATAAAAAGTCTTTTTAACAGCAGTGTTCAGTCTTTGTCTAGTTATCAGGCTGCTATGATGCCTCATATAGGGTAGCTTTATGTACACGTCTTTCTTAGGGGCTAGTTGGAGAGTGGGTCTTGGTGTTCTGACTACTTTATATCTCCTGATGAACTTGTCTGGATAATTGTTATCAACCAATAAATATGCAGGAGGAAGTGAAGATGGATTGGACACTCGCTGAGGAGGCCGCTGGGTGACATCGCGCGTCAGGCTAGTGCTTGAATGGAACCCGAAAGGGAAGCGGTGAGTGGGATGTCCAAGGGTGACATGGAGGAGATCGTGTGAAGAGGAGTTGAAACAGTATGGAACAACTTGGATGCAAGTGAAGACAGAAGCAAATGGAGACGTGCAGTTGAAGCCCTATGTTCCACTAGGAACCCAAGGGAACAATAAATATAATAATAAGTAGAGTTTGTGTCAACTTTCTTTCTTCTTCATCAAGTGTGTCTTCAGTGCATATTCGTTGGATTCTACTGAAGAGGCACCTTACTAAGGCTCTTTTGTACCGAATAGGGCAGAAACTGTGGTAATTAAGATACTGTCCTGTCCAGGTAGGTTTTCTATAAATAGATCTTTTTATTGACCCATCAAGCCGTCGACTAAGCAATATGTCTAGGAAAGATAAACAATTATCTTCCTCCGTGTGTGATCAGATTGTTCGAAATGCGGTGCGCAAATACATTACACGATTCAGACAAATTACGTCTTCTTATTGCTTTATCTAAATTCATAAAGGGAACTAATTGTTTTAAATTTAATCATAGCTAGTATGTTTTGTTAAAAATATGGTGTGAATTCATCAGAATAGTATGACTTATCACGCCAGACATAATAATGATAATCAGAATTGAGCAACAAAAAATAATAGCACATGCCGACAACAACACATTAAAGAATAAAGACAATTACCATTCGATAGATATACAACTGTATGTTATGGTATGCAATTTTAAAAAAAGTTTGCGTCAAACTATTTAGACATAAATTTACAAATTTGGTTTGCCATTTCTGGCTTAAGAAATAAAGTATTTAGGCGGCTTAATTTTTTATATGTTTCTTTATTTTACATGTATCTCGTCTAATACATACTGAGCTTTCACTATTATGTATACGCTTCTGACTGCCAAGTATAGCTGAAGCAGTTGCAATCAAAATTTCTAAACATAATCTGTACATTCGTAAACACTTTGCATAGTCTCTTACTCTCCAGTGACCTGCATATCCAACGAAGGTATTCACGTTCCGAATCAGGGTCAGGAGAAAACCAATAACAAAGCTTGACCTTGAGAAAATCATCAGCCAATCACAGCGAAGTTAACGTGTGCAAATACGATTCGCACATATATGGCTTGATTTTCTGAGAAACGGCCACAAAGAGATAATAGAATAACCTTTAGCAAGAAAGCAACCAATCAGAAGAGATTGCTTCTCCGCTAGCAATAATGTACATATAAATCTATAAATACCTCTTGATTTTCACAATAGACGATCTGTTGCCTGGCCCTTGTCTTCTGTCGTTACAGAATTCGAATAAGTTACTCTCCGGGTGACACCAGATAACTGTTAGTACTATCTTTAATTGTACTATTATTTTAGTCCACAGTGGCTAGAAATAGAATGCACGTTTCGTCTTATTCGGACGCATCATCTACATCCTCAGCTAGTAAACATGTCCCCAATGTGACTCAAAATCAGTCAGTATCCATCGTTTCAAATATCACAGAATTATCTATTACCAAAGTTCTAAAGGGAATTGATGCTGGTAATCAAACTAGAAAAGTGATGAATAGTGAGAATAAAATTTGAGTGTTAATTTAATTTTCAAAGGTAGGGAAGTGTAAACTCCCTAGCTGTGGTAATTGAGATGCTGGGAGTCAGTAAAGATGCTTTCACCAATTGTGATCTCCTAGATCCATTAAATCCTCATTGTTTTCCATGAAATTATTCTGTCTTCTACATAAATCAGAGGTGATGAAGATTCCTGGGCAACACCACCAACAGCAACAACAACAACAGACAACAATCAGCATAAATGGGAGGAACCTGAAAGAAACAACCTCCTTTACCCACCGACCTGGGAAGTATCGTTTCAACTACAGGCGGACGGAACTGACGAGGATATCAAAGCAAGAATCGGAAAAGCAAGACAAGCTTTCACTACTCTCAAGTCTGTGTGGAGGTCAACAGCACTCAGCATCAAAAATAAGATCCGAATTTTCTACTCCAATGTGAAGTCAGTGCTACTATACGGATCAGAGACTTGCAATGCGCGTCATAAAGAGCATCTCAAACAAACTACAGACCTTCATTAACAGCTGTCTTCGCTCAATACTCAAGATCAGATGGCCGGCCAGAAAAGATCAGCAACAGGGATCTCTGTCAATGAGCGAACCAACCCAGCAGGGACCGATTGTGAAACAAATAGGCAGGAAGAAATGGAGATGGATTGGCTGGCCATACTCTGAGGAAACCATCAAGTGACATCACTAGACAAGCC